ATAAAGCCTAAACTATGATCCCATGTCTAAAGACCTCCAGGGGTATGCACTTTGTGGATGGGCTGAAGCTTTAAAATACAGTTTCACTTGCTTAAATTGAATTGTACCTGGGACATTTTTCAGTTCAGTTTTTATACTCATTCAATTACTGTAAAAACTAACTCTGTAATGTGTATCATTATACTGTATGATATTTTCCTCTTTAGTGGTGCCGCCTCCGGTGAACATCTCAGCAGCACAGACCGGCTCGACCACAGCTAGGGTGACATGGCAGCCCGTGAAGGACGTACTCTTATACAGAGTCACCATCCAGTACCTCGATGACCCCACCAGCATACCATTTGTGAAAAATGTCACAGACACCAAGCTGGATGCTCAGAACATCTTCCCATGTTCCACTTATCTGATATCAGTGTCTTCATTCAACAAGTTCCTGGTGCCGAGCGAACCCAGAAACTACACATACACCACCAACAGTAAGTGGACAGAGCCAAACCAATATCCCTGACTTGGTGATTAAGATCTGGGTCAGCCATTTTCTCTGAGACGTTCCTTTCAGACATGCAGAATTTGATCTTCAGGGAAAAAGGACAACCAATTTGTTGTTAAGGCTGTGAACAAACTGGAGTCAAAGGTGTTTGTTGGTTCTTTTATAGTGTATTAATTATGAGATATGTGATCTGGATCTGTTGTCAGTTTATCACAGCATTGGCAATTTATTAGGCACACCTAACTAAAACTGATACTTTATCACCTTCATAAGATTCATTGCAGGATTGTTGTGTTGTTGCTTTAGTTTCTACCTATTAAACTACACATGTGTGTACTATTCATTAGACCCTAGCAGAGATCATGTGATACTTCTGAACAGAACTGAATAATCTAAAATATTTTTGGTTTGAGGAAATTTCCATTGTTGCCAAATGTGGAGACAGATTTGGAAAATATAAAATGAATGGTAAACTACTGAAAGAAAACCAAAGTATTGTCACTAATTATCTACTCTGTGTTGTCTAAAAGATGACTTGGATATCATAACTCTCCTACCATCTACAGGGTGTTTGCCATGAATAATTGTCTTGTGCACTGAAACCAAAAACAGAAATAAATACCTTAATATATTGTGTTGCTTGCAGAGCTGACACCAGTTGCGTCAGTAGAGCTGGACTACTCCTGCACCACTCAGTCTGTCATGGTGTACTGGTCAGTTGTGCTGGGGGCTGACTCCTACATGGCCACGGCGACAAGCGATAATGGCACACAGCTGACTTGCACCGACCAGAGCACCAGCTGTCAGATCACCGGACTGAGCTGTAGCCAGAACTATGTGGTCAACGTAATACCCATATCAGTTACCTGCAAGAACCCAATAAATGCCACCTCAGCCACTTTTCAGACTGGTAAGACAAAATTATTACAAAGAAAGTCTAAGAAGACCTATGACACAAACACCTTTAAACACACATAAAGAACAAACAAGCACACACACACATACATGTTTCCATCAGGGGACATTACATTGACTTAGATGCATTTTGTGGAGACTCATCCTAACTTTAACCATAGCCACTACCCGCCTCACCCTAACCTTAAACTATAATCACTCTAAAATGTAATGATTTACATTTTGAGGACTTGCTTTTTGTCCCCATAAGGACATTAAGTCCCCACAATGTGACTGTGTAAATGGATTTATGTCCCCACAACATGAGTAATTGTCAGGGTTGGCGTGTACAGATGCCAAACAGAGGTTGTGGTGAACTCAATTAGAAAACTAGACGAACCGAGGTAGAGACAAGTTCTTTACTTGTTGTAAGCAAAACAACTAACACAAAGTCCAGGATCACAATCAGGTCGATAAGACAGTCCAGGGTCGGCGCCGGTAAACGGGTATAGCCAGGGGATCCAAACTCGAGGTCAAGGGGGACAAAATCAGAAGGTCGGTACACTGCAGGCGATCAGAATCTGGGAGGGCATAGACAAAAAACGGTGGTCAAAAAACAGTAATCCAAGGTCAGAAACAGAGAGTCAGGCAAGGTATAAATGCTGGAGAGTCAAAGCTGGGGTCTAGAACAATCTGGCAGCGTCCTGGTGGGAGGATGCTGCCTAAATAGAAGTAAAAACAGGTGCAAACAATAAGGAGCAGGTGACCTAATGATGATTAAGTAAAAGGGCCAAAACTGAGGTGAAATAAAACAGGAAGTAATGTGAAAATAAAAGCATGACAGGAAGCAAGAGGGGCAGGAGCGTGACAGTAATACCAGGCCACACACAAACACAGAGGCATTGTCTGTAAAGTCTGTTTTGATTAAGCTGGTTCTGTAGAGATAAATGTGACACTCTCATATCCAGCCAACTGAGCCATCAAGCTTCTCCTTGGTAAAAGACAGCTTACACATCTCCCTTCAAAGGAGAAGCCAAATTCCTAAAGTTCAGTGGTAGAGCACAAGATAGACTCAGACCTGCTTGTTTAGGACTTCAAAGATAATATGTTGTGTATTGTATTTTACCAGTATTTAGCTGCTAGGCATGTCCAGAGGTATCATTCTCTCCCCAGCATTGTTTAGCCTCAATTCAGGACCTAAAAATTTTCAATAATGCTTCTCAGTACCATCTTTCATTAAACCCTCTCTGCCAGATAAACACCCACATTTTTCAAACTCAGCACCAGCTTGTAACAGCGACTTTGTGATAAAACAATCTGTGGTCCTCAAGCCCAAACTAAGATAACCCTGATGACAACACTACATTATCAGGGTTATTTTCATAGACTTTGAGAAGTTCCACCAAAGTCACAGAAGATACCATACAACTCTTTTCACATAACTGATTGACTTTCTGAGCAGCAATGCTTAAAATGCACAGACCCATGAATCAGTCATGTTGAAGGATCAACATTTTTACCACCCCACCCTGCCATGCACTCTTTTCATCTCACATATCACTCCATTCTGTTGGAGAGACCGATCAAGATTTCTCTCCAACCCCACCCTTGGTGCTGCATTGTGCACCACTCAGCTGTTGACTTTGATGCTGAACATATCAAGTATGCAGCAATTTAATATTGGAATGAAAACCTTAAATAACTCCATCCACTGATATACAACCTATTTTTGCAAAAGGCACAAGAAAAAGGAAACCATGTCATTGTTTGGTGATTTTGATCTGGTTATGTAATAATAACAATTTTACTGGGCTTGGATCAAATTGACACAGTGATTGAAAAACTGGCAATTAAATGCAAAATTACACTCAGTGGCTGGGATTTAGTTTTGTAGGGTTTATGATGCCAAGGTTTTAAACATTTGTTTTTTTAGGTCCTATTAGTCAGGAGTCATTCGGAAAGAGCTGTTTGCTGCTTTGTCTTTGCTTGGTGTCTAAGTTCATTTTGAAGGCATCACTAGGTGTCTCCTTTGAAAATATGGTGTCCTATTGAGCTACAGCCTTTGTCATATTGTGTTGTGTTCAGCTTACTAATAATGAGCCAGTATTCATGGGAAACCTGAAACCTCATACAGTGAAAAGCAACAGTGGAGTGTAATATTTAGTGTCATAACCTTTTCATCTGATAAGGGATTTGAGATGCTTGCCTTTCATGTTGATATTTAATCCCACTCACTTCTGTTTTTTAATCTCTCCTGTTGTTTTTGATGTTATTTATTGATCCAACTGGAGTGAGTGGGATTAATGGTGCAGAGGACATAGAGAAAACAGGCTTACACAGTTTAAATTAAGGCATTAATAGTGTATCTATTTCCTTGTTCCTAAGTCCCCTGTGCTCCCAAGAACCTGACGCTGTTCCGAGAATGCTCCAGTGACGTCATCATCTTCTCTTGGGAACATATGAGCAATACAGACCACTATTTAGCCACCTCAGTGGACTCCAAGGTACTGTGTTGTTCTGGGCTAAAACATTTGCAGCAACAATTTTCAGTGTAAAATAAATTTAACTGTGAATTTTCTTTCTGTATTTTGGGAAATACTTTTTGGCTTTCTCGCTGACAGATATCAAGAGGTGGAGAAAAGCTTTAATTTAGACCATCGAATCTTTATCTGTCGCCTTAAAGAGTTTTTGATGACTGAGTATTGAGTAGATGTAAGAGTAACAAAGCTTTTTGGAGATTATACTGTCACAAAATATAAAGTGTGAATGAATTGGCATTAGAGGAGATGGTTGATGTAAAATTTACCACCTTTGGACAGAGAAGCTAGCTTGTTTCCCATCTTTGGGCTAAAATAAACTTACTGGATGCTAGCCATAGCTTCAGATTTACTGCACAGACATATGAGTAGTTGAACTATTTCTCGAATAAGTTACTGAATAGAGTCTGTAATTGGAGTATATAACGTTATTAAGTGTAGTATGATTTGTCTGTACACAGGGAGAGGTCCAGGAGTGTCTGACCGTAGACAACACATGCTACTTCACACACACAGTGTGTGGACGACGCTACTACTTCACAGTCTACGCAGTCACAGGGGAGTGCAGTAGCCAGGTTAGCTCCTCTGTTGACATTAGCACAGGTACGATCATTTATGTCTACAGATATTCCATGCTATAGATAGTTACAGATTACAACATAGGAATGTCACTAATCATTTCACTTTCATAATTTGAAGTTTATGCAACGTTTGTACAATACAATGTAAACTATTACTGGTTGCTCTATGAGAGTACCCTCTGGTGGATACTTTTGTAAAATCTAAGGTTGATTTATATCTGGACCTGGATTTATCAAACAAACGTAAAAATACTTCACTTTTATTCCTATTCACAAGCTTAAGAATTGAGAACTAGGAATAAAATTACAAATGCAATAGAATATAGAATAATCACCTTTATTGGCCAAGTATGTTACACATACACACAGCCATCTGCGGCGTCAACTCAACCGATGGCTCTAACCATCGGGGGCAACGGGGGGGGGTTCAGTATCTTGCCCAAGGACACTTCAACATGTGGACTGCAAGCACTGAGATCCGAACCTTCAACCTTCTGGTTGGAAGATGACTGCTCTACCCATCACACTATCACCTCCCCTGATATAAAAAGTATTTGTTAAGTTTCTCATGATATAAAAATAACATTGAGCTTGAGAGGTCTCTTAAGATAAACACAGAACTTCCCAAGACAGGTTTTGGAATGATTGCACACTGAATGTATGAATAATAGACCACTTTTTCTTCTGCATTTATCGTGGTTGCAAACGACAGTAGCTGGCATTGATAATTTATTGTAATATCTGTTTATTATAAATATATTAGACTTGTTAATTTCACATAATGACAGATGTAGGGTAAATCTCTGATTGGCTATTACTCTGAGTTTGTGATATGGGAGTGGCTGTGGCTTAGGAGTTACAGTGGTCATCCCCCAACCGAAAGGTCAGCGGTTCAATTCCCGTTCTCCGCATGTTGAAGTGTCCTTGTGCAAGACATTGAACAACCAATTACTCTCGATGGCCAGAGCAGCACCTTGCAGGGACAGTGCCACTATCGGTTCTGTACCGGACACAAATTCCTTGTGTGTGTAACATACTTGGCCAATAAAAGTAATTATCATCATAAAGGTTGCTACTACACTTTTCACTAAGATTGATACACATGTATTATTCTTCACATTCAGCAATGACTAGCAATCATTTTACTCCAAAGTTGGCTCTTTAGTGCTTCATAAGTACAACACTTGCAGTGTTGTACTTCAAAGTTAGATAAATTCAGGCCCAGCTCTGATAATGGTGTAAACATCTGTCCTATTACAATATGATGGTTAGAAAAAATATTTCCCCCGGCTGCTATAACATAGCTATGCTTCTCTTTTGCTTGCATTTTTTTAAGTGGCTAATAAACCATGAAAAAGTTAATCTTTGGATTCATTTGTCTTTCTCCAGCGCCCTGTATTCCCCAGAATGTGCAAACATTTGCCACCTGCAATTCAGACGTTGTGCTCTGCAGTTGGGACATTGCAGAGGGGGCTCTGCACTACACTGTGGAGGCCTTTGGTACCAGAGAACGCAACAGTTACTACAACTGTAGCTCACAGTCCAACAGCTGTGCTATTAAAGATGTCCAGTGTGGAGAGTACCTGACCATCTATGTCACAGCTTTTGATAATGAATGTGCCAGTCCATGGTCACTGGCGCCTGTGGCTGAGACAGGTGAGGAAAAGGTGTTAGTGCCAGTTTATTACATCAGCACTGGTGGAAAAAATATTCAGACCCCTTACTTAGTTTCCAAAATGGACACTATCAGCAAAATGTACTTAAATATCAAAAGTAACAGAAAAATATTTCCTGTACTTATATTATTGTACACCAGATGCATTGATGTGTAAGCAGCATCTTGACTTGTCAAGCCGGAGTCAATTTAAAGATCATCTCCAGACATGTCGTACAGCATATAAAAATACTCTGATGTGAAAAATATATTGTCCAACATATCGGGACTGATACCGCACCATCTAGTACTCTACTCAGTAAGGTTTCAGCAGTTTGGGGATATTTTAAGATTAGTGACAGCAACAAAAGTAAAGCTGACTGCAAGCTCAGCTTCTCTGTTGTGTGTGCGTGTGTGTGTGAGAGCGCCCCGTCTCACACAGACACGCAGGCACAAAGACACATTTTACACAGAGGTCAACACACAATATGTGCAACAAAATCAACAGTAATGGAGAGAGCAATTAATCAAACATCTTTCGAAGAAACACAACAACAAACCTGCAGAAATGCGACATTTCACCATAATTGGCAGCACTGTATCAGCGGTACAGTCCTTCAAGTTCCTGGGCTCCACTGTCTCCCACGACCTGAAGTGGACATCCAACATCAGCACCATCATCAAGAAGGCACAACAGAGGATGTACTTTCTGCTCCAGCTCAGGAAGCTCAGCCTACCCCAGGAGTTGCTGATACAGTTCCACAGAGAAATCATCGAGTCTGTTCTCTCATCCATCACTGTCTGGTTTGGCTCAGTAACTGGACAGGACAGGAACAGACTCAAGCGAGGACTGCAGAAAGAACCATCGGTGCCAGCCTGCCCTTCATGGAGGACCTGTACACCTCACGGGTCAAAAGGAGGGCAGAGGAAGGACAGTTTCTTCCTCTGGGCTGTCGGTGTGATGAACACTTAACCCATGACAGTATAACAGAATGAAAACCCTCAGTGAAATACCTGTAAATATACCTTTGTATATATACAGTATATATCTGGAAACTTCTATCTAAACTGTGTATATGAATGTATATTTTATATTTATAAGTACTATATTGCTTATTTTTTTGTTTTCCTAATTCACATTCCATATTTCTTTTTTTGCACATTCTTTTTCTTTTCTTGTTCTCATGGTCTTGTTTACTCATTGCCTTATGGTAGAACATTGTTCATGCACAGTGAGCACCACTGTACCAGAGTCAAATTTCTTGTGTGTTCAACACTCCTGGCCAATAAAGCGGATTCTGATTCTGATTATTGCTGTAAATAGTATGTTGTTATAAGTACATATTTTCTCTCTAAAATGTAGGCATGTAAAATCAGGAGGTGGCAGAAAATAGAAGTATTCAAATTATCTAAATATTGTAGTCAGTAACAACACAGATTTAGTTACATTCCACCAAGTCTAAAAAAGGTTGATGCACTGTTTTGTATCATAATTAATTTAATACATTTTTGGGTTTTTGATTGCTGTTTCAATAAAATAAACACTTTAAATAAATTTTTAATTATTTCCTGATGTTTAAGACCAAACCTATTATCTAATAACTCAGGAAAATGATTGGCAGATAAATAACTGTAATCATCAGTTGCTGTTCTAGTTTATTTCTTATCAGAGACAAAGGAGAGTTTGTTTTATTGTTAGAATTATTATATTATTAATAATTTTCCTGTCTTTTAGCCCCGTGCCCTGCACAGAATGTATCAATGGTGAAGGAATGTGAAGCACAATCTATCACAGTGACCTGGGACCAGCCTGGTGGTGCAATTTTCTTCATGGTCATAGCAAAGGACAGTAGTGGTGTTACTTACAACTGTAACACCATGGATCTGACCTGCAAGATTAAGGACTTGAATTGCAGCACCATCTACACAGCGCATGTCATTGTCTCCAACTTTCAGTGCAACAGCTCTGAAAGCCAGGCACTCACTTTGGGGACAGGTACTGTAACAATGCTTATTTTTCTCTTATTGTGTCTTGCTCTTTCTCAAGGGTTATTTTGCTATAATGCCGTGTAAGTCACTTTTCAAACTGACAACAGGAGGGTGGGGGGACATTAATTTGCATTTGATGGAGGTTTTGAGTTGGTACTAAATATTAAAAAGTCAGTATCATTATCTGATTGGACGAAATGTGTCTGTGATGTGTTTACTCCTACACTGTGTCTGTAAGATCATTAAACATGTATAGTTATGCTACTTTTATTGTTGACATTTTGGAATGAGTTTTCTCTTGGTTCTCCAGCTTCCTCCCACAATCCAAAGACACATAGGTTTGGTTGAATGGTGACTCTAAATTGCCCATAGATGTGAATGGTTGTTTGTCTGGTGACCTACCCAGGGTGTAGCCCTCCTCTCACCCAGTGTCGGCTGGGGTAGGCTCGAGCCACCCCAACGACCCTTTATACAATAAGTGGTACTGATAATGAATGGATGGAGAAAAGGTTTTTCTCATTTTGACAAGACTTTTTAGATTGTTTCAAAAAGGTAAATCTGCTGATACATATTTTTATGGTAGGTATGCACACAGGATTTGTGTTTGTTATGTTATACTTTGAAACACAATTTTCCCAATAGTTTAACCCCCACAGTAATTAGTAATGCATTAGTATACAGTGTAAACTAAAATTGGCATTCTCCGAAGTGAAGGCAATTGGGTGTATTTCTCTGAGGAACACAATAATTTGCTCCTGAATCTCTTTCTTGTTAGCTCCATGCCCACCAACCAACTTGAGTGCCAGTGCCGAGTTTGGCACCGACTTGGGAACGCTGACCTGGGCACCAAGTGCAAACACTGTCTCGTACACGGCTACAGTGACTGGTACCCAGGGCCATGTAGTTTCCTGTTCTTCCAACACGACAACCTGCTCAGTGAAGCTGGAGTGTGCATACCAGTACTCAGCAGTTGTGGTAGCTTCCAGTGCAACATGCAACAGCAGCAGAGGAGCTAATTTTACATTTAACTCAGGTAATTTAAATCTGCTTCTTCATACCGTTGTCTGAATTGCACTCTTGATATTTTTTTTGTTTTGAACCTCAGTACTGATTAATGAATGACTCAATCCTGTCTACCCCCCACAGCTTCCTGTACTCCTGACAATGTGGTCGTAGACCTGAACTGCAGTGTCAACACCTTTGCCGTGCAGTGGAAGGGGAGCGCCGGTTCCACTGGGACATATATGGCGATCGCCACTGGCAACGGGACATATGCAACTTGCAACACTACTAGCTCCAACTGCACCATCACAAACCTAAAATGTGGCCTCACCTACAGCATCTACGTCACTACAACATTTGGCAATATTGGAGCTATGGAGGGCTCAGGCTACATAGTGCAATCAGGTAGTAACATTTTCTTGAAATACACTATATTAAAGGAAGTAGATACTAAAGGGGCATGAAATTACTGCCGTACATGCAAATTGCTACTGGTGGGGGAGTTGTATTAGGCAAATAATATCAACTAATTTCACTACAAATCAACTTGTTTCAGGTAAAAAAGAAGTGTAGGTTTTCTTGATCCAGTGTGCAAAATGAAAGACTTTTTGGTTTTTCAAGATCCTTAAAGAGTCACTTTTGTTAAAGGAAAAGTTTAATATTTTTGGAAACACAATCACTTTATTGTTGAAGGTTTCTTGCAGAGATATAGATGAGAAGATAAATACTTTTTAAAGTAAATATTAAGTTAAAGTCAGCAGCTGGTTAGCTTAGCTTAGAGTGAATATGATATAGCAATAAAAGTAACAACCTTTATTTGTAAATCTACATTACAAAGATAGCAAATAAAAATCAATTGAAAAGAAAACTTCAATTCAATTAGATTTGTACAGTACCAAATCACAACAGAAGTAATCTCTTACAAAGTAAGGTCTAGACCTTGTTATTATTAATATAGAGGAAAAACCAAACAAATCCCCCTTGAGCAAGCACTTAGTGACAGTGGGGAAGAAAAACTCCAGGAAACATCTGGAAAGGCTCTCTGATAAAAGTATGTTTTAAAAAACGATTTAAAAGTGGTTACTGACTTAGTTGACCTGATTTCTTTGGGTAGGATGTTCTAGAGCTTCAAGGTCCTGACTGCAAACCCTTGTCCCCTTTAGTTTTCAGCTGGGTCCCTGGAACAAACAAAAAAACCTATCCAAGGTTCTCAAAATGCGCACAGGCGCGTACCATGCTGAGGTCAGAGATATAGCTAGGGGAAAGGCCATGCAGGGCCTTAAAGTAATGAGTAAAATTTTGAGCGAGTCCATCACTGCCCGTACAGGTTATAAAACAACCACCTCAACTAGGAAACCAGGTTGTTTGCAGGTCTTTAAATTTTAATGCACAAAAAGTACTGATTTTTGTTTCCTCAAGAAAAGGAAAGAAGGGATTAAAAGTCTTGCATTTAATCCACAGCAATTCTAAATAAAAATGTTAAATAGTTTATTATTTAATCGATAAATTTTTTCTTTTATCCATTTTCTGTTGTTTATCAAGATCAAGGCTGTGTTTAATGATTAGTTAATGATATTATTAGGATTTACTGTAATGGACAGCTGGGAAGGATTCAAAATGTGATATAAATTCATACTATAGGTAAATAATTCTATGTCTTATCATTCCTGATTGTTTTTATGTCCTTCATACTTTGACCAGGGGAAACATGTATTATGTTCGGCCCACGTGGTAATAAAAATGTTTTAAAAATAATTACATTATTATAATTACGTTATTGAGTTTTATTAATTACTTTTTTGTGAAAAGTATAATGAGAAAAGTAGCTATATGTTCTTTTGCAGAGCAGAGGAGAGTTAAAATTCTTAAAGGCTGTGCACTCCCACTGATGATTTGGTTGAACTAACCTGTGTGGGCATGAACAGACTGATAGCTTTGCTGCAACTGGTAAATGAAGTAATGTGGCCTTTGCAATTAAGCATAGCAGTGGTAGGGACAACCTTAACAGAGGTCTAGTGAGTGAAAATATCTGAAAGAAGCTGTGTGAGTGAGCAGGGCCTTTGTACAGCACCTTAATTAAAAAGAGTTAATGCAAAACTAAATGTCTATATTGACCTCTTCCTCTCAGCACCATGCCCTCCTCAGGACCTCAAAGCCAGCCTGAACTGCAGCAACAATGTGGCCTCTGTGTCGTGGAGCTACAGCAAAGGAGGACAGCTTTACAAAGTGAGAGCAGTGGCTACTGATGGCCACGAGGACCAGTGCGTCTCCTATGCTAACCAGTGTGCTCTGACTAGCCTGTTCTGTGGACTGTATTACACTATTACTGTGACAGCAGAGGACATGAACTGTACGAGCAAACCGAGTGAGAGTGTGACAATCAAGACGGGTATGTACAGAAACTGCTTTTATACTAGTAAGCGTTCAAAATGTCAAATATACAGTAACCAGTTTTGTGACATCCAATGTTTTTGTTTTAAAGGAATAGTTTGACATTTTGGGAAGTATGTGCACTTGCTTTCTTGCCAAGAGTTAGATGAGAAGATGGACACCAATCTCATGTCTAAATGTGAAGTTGCTTTATACCCCGTTTGTTCAGGCTTTATAGAAACTGCAGTATATGAACAACAAATTGTTGCTGGTTAGCAGTCAGTCAGCAGATACACAGGAAGTCACTGTGCCTGGTCAAGACGTTTATATACCCCTTATGTTTTTTTGGTGCCGGCTGGTGGATTTTGTTACCTTAGGGCTAGTCAGGCTAGTTGTTTCTCTTTGCTAAGCTAAGATACCTGGCTGCTGGTGTTGTTTGGTGTACTGACATGACAGTGATATCAATCTAACTCTCAGCAAGAAAATAGTAAGTGTACTTTCCAGAACAGTTTAATTCTACAAGTATAATTTCCAGAATACAGTTTCTATTTCACAATTTCAGTATTCTTCAATCAGAAACTCTTTAAGGTGAGAAAAAAGACTCAGCCTTACACTAAACCTTCTCTCTTCCTCTTCTCACCAGTGCCGTGTACCCCTGCACAGATCTCCTCTATGGTGGACTGTCAGACCAATGCTCTGACTGTGTTCTGGTCCAATAGCTCAGGAGCTGACTCCTACATTGCTACAGTGCAGGACAGCCACGGTCTGGCCACCACCTGTCAGGGCACAACGACAGGTTCGTGCAGTGTGACGGGACTCAGCTGCGGTCAGATCTACCATATCTCAGTGGTCTCCTCTGATGGACACTGCAACAGCACGCCCACTCCTGTGGCTGACACACCCTCAGGTAGAAAAGCAACCCAAGTACTGATGCACTCAGGATCTGAACTTATCTAATGTGTATTATCTGAGAATAACTGCACACCCATTAGTAGATTGTACTACAGTTTAGCAGTATCAGAGAGTGCATCCTCCACTATGGCCACACAGTTTTCTGGAAGACCTAAGTATATCTGAACCATATTTAAAGTCTTGTCCTTCTCCCAGCCCCCTGTCAAACAAGAAATGTCGGGATAGCGTACGACTGCAACACGCAGATCGCCACGGTGTGGTGGACCCCCACTGCTGGAGCTTGGTTGTACTCTGTGACACTCAAAGCAGCATCAGGCTACACCGTCATCTGTGAGACCAGCTTCTCCTACTGTGAAATAGATTATCTGCTCTGCGGTCGTAACTACTCTGTGTCTGTTCAAGCTTGGGGATGGACATGCAGCGCCACCACTTACTTGCACCAACAACTGGCCACTGGTGAGCAATGACTCATGGGCTTACAAGGCACTTTTGTCTGGAATTAGAAAATGTCAGACTTTAATGCTTCAGTTGTTCCTCTCCCAAATCATCTTGTTTGTAGAATTCTGTAGTGTCAGGATCTTGATACAGAGCAGGATGTGGATTTTTTTTTTTTGCTGCAGTAGAATTAAGAAACAAGATGCTTGATATGTAAAAGTCTTGAAAAACAACACGGTTTGTCTTAGAAAGAGGTCAAAATGATCTGATGGTACCTGCAGATTTTCCACTTGAATACAACTGTGGAACAATTTACAAGAAATATGAGATCAACAACTTTTGGTTAAATAGTAGACCACTTGGTATGATATTCAGTTTTTGCAGTATAAAAATGGATAATATACTCAGCTCCTGCAGTACTTTATTCTTCCCTGTGAAACACATCTAGACAATTATAAATTTTCCTGAGATTTTAACAAAGCAAATATTATAATGATAGTGATCCACCCTGAATCTTGATATAGTGCATCCTACTTCTTTTTTTTACATTATTATTCATCCCTTCTCCCCATTCTGTCAAATAAAGACTAAAACTATGCTTCTTTCCTTCCTATAACATATTTTATCAAGTGTTTGAAGTTGTCATCAGGAGGAGATTGTCTGATTTATCTGTATTTCATGATCACATTTTCATTTTTGATCCAGAAACTTGATTGCATCTTGTTCTCCCTTGTTTTCTTCCAGGGCCGTGCAGCCCTGGACAGATCACTGCTCAGTACAGCCCGTCGATCGGCCAGGTGACGTGGGGCAGGGCAGCTGGTGCTGATTATTACACAGTGAAGGGGGTAACAGAGCAGGGCCTCACGGTCTCCTGC